ATGGTGGCGCATGCCTGTAATTCCAGCTACTTGGAAGACTAAAGTGTAAGGATGGCCTGAGCCCAGCAGGTCAAGATTGCCATGAATGTGTACTGCACTCCAGCCTGGACAACAGAGTGAAACTCCAACTCAAAAAAAAAAAATGGCATCAAAATTGTCAAGTTCAAAAACTGTTTTGAGACTGGGTGTGGTGGCTCACACCTGTAATGGGAGCACTTTGGGAGGTCAAGGTGGAAAGACTGCTTTAGCCTAGTAGTTTGAGACCACCCTGGGCAACATAGCAAGACCTTGTCTCTAAAATTACTGTTTTTTTAATAAAATTTAAAACTGTTTTGAGCAGTGGAAAAATGTCTGAATGGTTGTATTGCATCAAATGGAGAGTAACTTGAAGGACTGAAGTTGAAACATGTAAGAATAAATACACGATTTTTAATAAATTCTGGGTTTTCTGGACCCCCTCTCATATATAGATATACAGTTGGCCCTTTGTATCCATGGGTTCTGTATTCATGGATTCAATCAACAGTGGATGGAAAATACTCGGGGGGAAAAATGACACAAAATTTCAAAAAACAAAACTTGAATTTGCCTTGCACCAAGAGCTGCATTAGATCCATGCAAATTAAGTGATTTGTCAGCATTGTTAAATAATCTGGAGATTTCAGTTTTACAGGAGGATATGCATAGGTTATATGCAAACACTACATCATTTTATCTTTCTATTTTTTTTTTTCTTTTTGTTTTTTTTTTTTTTGAGTTGGAGTCTTACTCTGTCGCCCAGGGTGGAATGCAATGACACACCTATGGCCACTGTATCCTCTAACTGCTGGATTCAGGCGATGCTTCTGCCTCAGCTTTCCAAATAGCTGGAACTATAGGCATGTACCACCATACCCAGCTAATTTTTTTTATTTACTTATTGTAGAGAAGAGGTTTCACCATGTTGCCCAGGCTTGTCTCAAACCCATGGGCTCAGGCATTCCTTTTGTCTCTACTTCCCAAAGTGCTGGGATTACAGGCGTGAGCTACTGCACCCAGCACTATGCCATTTTATATAAGGAGCTTGAGCATCCACTGATGCTGAGTGATGACTGTACTTTTATCATCTGAAACATTTAAAAGCAAGCTAGTTTTTCTAGGTGTGTATGTCTCACACATATAGTTACTACTTAACTATTAAGTTTTAGTTGAATATTGAATATCCTGTGCTCTGTGCTAAACTTAATTTTCTTTTTGCTATTTTTAACTTAAGATATAAGTGGTGTGCCCTTTTATTTGTCAGTGTTTTTGTTTTCTGGAACGTAGGATTTTATGAGTACAAATTGGAATAGGATAGTCTATTGTATCCTATTGATGAAAAGCTGTTTTATATTGACACATCATTGAACATAACTTCTTTTTTTTTTAAGTTGGGTTCTTGTTCTGTCATCCAGACTGGAGTATGGTGGCATGATCACAGCTCACTGCAACCTCTTGGGCTGAAGGGATCCACCCTCCTTAGCCTCCTGAGAGCTGGGACTACATCACCACGCCCAACTAATTATTTTAGTTTTTTTTGTTGTTGTTGTAAAATAGCTGTTTTAGTTTTTTTTTTTGTAGTGGCGAGATCTTGCTATGTTGCCCAGGCTGGTCTCAAAATTCCTGGGCTCAAGCGATCCTCTGCATCAGTCTCCCAGAGTGCTGGGATTACAGGTGTGAGCCACCACACCTGGCCAGATCATAACTTAATGATTGATGCAGATGCAGATTAAGAAGAGTTTCAGCCGGGCTTGGTGGCTCAGCCTGTAATCCCGTGCTTTAGGAGGCTGAGGTGAGTGGATTACCTGAGCCCGCAGGTTTGAGACCTGCCTGGGCAACTTGGCGAGACCTCATTTTTACAATAAATCACAAAATTAGCTGGGCGTGGTAGTGCACGCCTGTAATTCCAGTTACTTGGAAGGCTGAGGCGGAAGGATCACCAGAGCCCAGCAGGTCGAGGCTGCGGTGGCCAGGAGCAGCCACTGCACTCCAGTTTGGGAGACAGTGAGACTCCAACTCAAAAAAAAAAAAAAAAAAAAAAAAAAAGAGTTTCATCCAGTTGAGAGACAGGATCAACCCTTTTTTCATAGTGTTAAGGAAAATCTAACGTAATTCATTTAATGATAAGCATAAATGCTTGGTTGTCTCATTCATGTACATACATAGAACTAGTGTAGAATTTCCTAGTAGTTTTTAGTTTAAGACCTCATAACAATTGAAATTTTCATTACCATCATGCTACTGTCATTAGTATTTAATATTTGAGCAAATACTTATGTGTGCCAGGATAGGACCCCACCCCATAGGTTTAAAACTAAATCCATATTACATGAACAGCTGTGGACTTTTATTACACTTATGTCTTTTTTTTTTTTTTGAGTCAGAGTTCACTGTCACCCAGGTTGGAGTGCAGGTACATGTTCATGGCCACTGCAGCCTCAACCTACTGGACTCAGGTGATCTTTCCACCTCAGTTTTCCAAGTAGCTGGAACCACAGGTGCCTGCCACCACACTCGGCAGACTTTTTGATTTATTGTGGAGATGAGGTCTCACCAAGTTGCCCAGGCTAGTCTTGAACTCGTGGGTTCAGGCAGTCCTCTTTCCTCCATCTCCCAAAGTGCTGGGATTATAGGCATGAGCCGCCGCATCCAACCTACATCTTCTTAAGGATAAGTCCATAAAGTTAATTTAAAAGCCAGATAAGGCTGAGGTGAGTGGATTGCCTGAATCCGTGGGTTCGAAACCCGCCTGGGCAACTTAGCGAGACCTCATCTCTACAATAAATTTAAAAATTAAGCCGGGCTCAGTTGCTCAACCTGTAATCCTGCGCCTTTGGGAGGCTGAGGTGAGTGGATTGCCTGAGCCCGCG